TCCAGGCTTAAGTCTTTGACCTGCCGAAGTGGTAGGAGAGAGATAATGGCCTTCTACAATTTGCTCACAAATTAACCTTTATGAGGTAAAAAACCAAAATGCCCCCTTAAATTGACTGCTCCTTGATTTTATTCTGTGCCTGAGTTCTAAAAAGCAAAAAAAAAAAAAAAAAAAAAACCTTCCTCCTAAGGTTATTATTATTATTCATAAGAATAAGTACAGCTACTTCACAGTCAGAACTCTACAGGTTTGTCTTTGCCATATTATCACAACTCCAAACCAGAATAAGTACAATGTGAACAACTATCAGACACAGATCAGGGTGATGGTACAACAACGGAACTGCATTCAACAAAGATGCTGATGAATGATAAGGAAGCCATAATGATATAAATCCCCCCTTGATGGCTGAGGAATTTTGGGAGTTGAAGTCTGCAGGTCTTGAAGTTGCCAAGGTTAGCCACTCTTATTATAAAGCCAGGAGAAGAAACATTACTATAACAAGTAACCCATTGTTGTTGTTGTTTTTATCCATTTAGAAAATAGCTTTTGTCAAGAGGGTGACTTGATTTCCAGGCTTAAGTCTTTGACCTGCCGAAGTGGTAGGAGAGAGATAATGGCCTTCTACAATTTGCTCACAAAAGAGCAAATGCTTTGTAGAACTGACATTAATTTGTAGATATATTGATCTTCTTATACTCATAGTCTACCAATTTATAGCATTTTTCTTATCTTTGTGTCTTCTTGTGTCCAAAATGATGTCTTTGTCTTTTAGATTTGAAGTTCTTCTACCTAATTCCTACCCTTGGAAGTCCTAAGGGATGTTTCTCTTAATATTATTAAGCAGAAACTTTAGTTCTTATTTTCTTCATTTTAAAACAGACCTTCCCTGATACATTTGATGAAACCTCTTGGATATTTTTGATGAAATGAACAGATTTTCATTTTGCTATATAGCTTACACATAAGTCAGACGATATTATGCTTATTATTAACTTGAATTACCTCCCATCTTTTAATATCTGACTGGGATTTTAAGAGCTAAAAATATGGATCATGGTAAAGATCAGCTTCCAGTGAGAAACCTGTTGTGGATTTCCTAGTCCCCCAAAATGAAATAAACAGAAATAGCATGCAGAGAAATGATAAGTTCTTAAAAACTGTACATGACTTCATATTACAGATACATAGAGCTGTGGTAGTGCAGTGGTTAGAGTGCAGTATTGCTGGCTACCTCTGTATACCCACAGCCAGGAGTTCGATCCTGACCTGCTCAAGGTTGACTCAGATTTTGGGGGGCAATATGCTGACTCTGTAAACTGCTTAAAGAGGGCACTATAAACACTATGAAGCAGTATATACAGTAAGTCTATTGCTACATGAAATTCCTTGAATCATAAATGCAGCTTAATATTAAATACATACATGCTTCTAATTAATATATATCACTTGGGTGCTGCAAATCATAATATATAGAAATCAAGAGCAAATCTGTTTACTTAATAGATCATGAGAGATTATTTTCAGCAAATTTGATATTTAGATTTATTTGGAAATCCCAATTGCTGTAAGCTGTATAATAAAGGGCAGAGCCAGCAACAAAAATAAAGAGGCTGTTATAATTTTTTTTCCTTGCCATCTGCTTTTTATCCAATATACCTTCCTTTCAATTGCTTTCTTCCTAGAACACAGAAAACATTTCTATGTTATAGGGTAATCTTTTCTATAAACAACACAATCCTAAATCAAAATCTTTTAAAACTTTTTACTATGGTCTTACGTTCTGTGCCAAGATAGAAGACATATATAGTATATAGATGAAACATCATTTCCTTCCTGTATTACACAGAGCAAGAAATCTTCCATGGACTTTCAATTACATACATGTAAAGGAATAAATGGCTGAAAGAACTTGATCGGTGGAGTGCCTTCCAAAGGAAAGTAAGATAAAGAAGTTCCTATTGATCTTATCACATAGCAATCTACCCTTCAAGTTGAAGCTACAGCTTTAACTTCACGCTACACCAGATTCTCATTACCTCTTACACCAGAGATTGAGTAGGGTATAAACATGTCATTCCACTTCTGCAATTTCTTCAAGAAACGGAAAGTTAACTCGAGCCTATGACTCTTGCTAAGCCATTCCAAAGCACAGTCCCACTTGATCTGAGAAGTGTCTTGCATGCTTATTAGCTTCAATTCAGAAAATGTCCCTTAAACATTGGTCCATACATCTTAGTTGTGTGGTTTTGAGAAAAGTCCACATCAAGTTATTTTTCCCAATTTGTATATGGGAATTGTATTTTGTAAAATTCTCCCTTTTTTTTTATTCAAAAAGGGCTTTCATTTATTTATTTCAATTTGTCATGGCCACCCACTTTAACAGGCTCTGGGCAACTTTACAAAACATTAATGCAGTATTACAACAGTTAAAAATATAAATAAAACAAGACAACCTAAACTAAAACAGATACTATAAAAAGCAACAGCTTGCCCATCAACACATTAATCCCAGGCATAGAGCCAAAGGCAGGTTTTAAGATATGTTTGAAATCTCAGGAAAGTGGATGTTATCAGTACCCCAGTTTCAGAGGTGGGAAATGCTATTTCAGAGGGTGGGACCAAGTCAGAATAGGCATGTTCTTAGGTCACACAAGTTGACAACATTTAACAGAAGGGAGTGCACCCACTCTGCCCAAATGTACTGGACAGGCAAAAACAATGAGAGGGAGATAGTCACTCAAATAACCAGGTCCTATGCCACGAAGGGTTTAAAGATTTTAACCAGGACCTTGAATTGCATCCAGAAACTAACTAGACGGACATAGCAGAGGTGGCACATGTGTACAACAAGAAGTGCTCATTGTTACTCATGACACCACAAATTGAAACATCTGTACCTTCTGGATAGTCTTCAAAGGCAAATCCCTATCGAGTGCAATTTGGTTAGACATAAGACCAAAAGAAATAGGCAGTTTTAAGGGTAGTGTCTATCTATAGCCATTTTGCCTAACATGCATTTTTGAATGACTGAATATTAGCCAAATCCTCTAAAACATTTAAATGAATGGGAATGTGATGTTCAAATCATTCAGCAATCTATTTATTTAAAATTCTTTACAATTATTTTGTCTATTATAACCATTGAGTTGTGGTGGCACAGTAGTTAGAATGCAGTATTGCAGGCTACTTCTGCTGACTGCCAGCTGCCTACAGTTTAGCAGTTCGATCCCAATTGGCTCAAGGTTGACTCAGCCTTCCATCCTTCCAAGATTGGTAAAATGAGGACCCAGATTGTTGGGGGCCAAAGGCTGACTCTGTAAACTGCTTAGAGAGGGCTGTAAAGCACTGTGAAGCGGTATATAAATCTAAGTGCTATTGCTATTTATCTGAATTTGGCTGAAGAAGACTTGGTTCAGGCTACAATGAACATCAATCTCTTTGCTGCAATCAAAATCAATAGCAAATTGATTTCTTTAAATTACAATACATTTCAAGATTTCTTTAAATTACAATACACTTCATACATGGCACCACAGAATGGGAGCATGTAGGTGACTTTGACTGAACTGAAAAAATGCTAATGAAGTTCTGCCCCAATTAGTATTTTAATGGGAGAAATCTCAGAGTTCTATGCTTGACAGGGAAGTTGAAAAGGCAAATGGGAAAGAGGTAATGGCAAAGTATGTCTCCTATTGCTGTTGGTTCAAAGATTTAGGACACCATCATATAAACAAAGAGCTTTAAAAATTCTCTGTTATCAGTGAAGAGACCCGTTTCCTTGCCAGGTTAAAGGCTGTTAAAAAGAATATCAAATGAATATCCAAAAGTATAGGTGATATATTGGTTCTAAGAGGAAAATAGTTCAATTGCTGTAATTTTTCTAACTTCATACCATTTATTTCAATAAATATTGATAAGGTAAACTACGAGAATTGTACTTACAAAGAATAACAAGTTTGAGGCAGCTGCCAAAGAGCCTGCTATCTTTTGCTGCAATGAGATTCCACACTTTTAACATTGAATAGTGAATAACACTGATCTCAGAGTCCTAGTGGACAATCACTTAAATATGAGCCAGCCGTGTGCTGCAGCTGCCAAAAAAGCCAACACAGTGCTGGGCTGCATTAACAGAGGGATAGAATCAAGATCACGTGAAGTGTTAATACCACTTTACAATGCCTTGGTAAGGCCACACTTGGAATACTGCATCCAGTTTTGGTCACCACGATGTAAAAAAGATGTTGAGACTCTAGAAAGAGTACAGAGAAGAGCAACAAAGATGATTAGAGGACAGGAGGCTAAAACATATAAAGAATGGTTGCTGGAATTAGGTATGTCTAGTTTAATGAAAAGAAGGACGAGGGGGGACATGATAGCAGTGTTCCAATATCTCAGGGGTTGGCACAAAGAAGAGGGTGTCAAGCTATTCTCCAAAGCACCTGAAGGCAGGACAAGAAGCAACAGATGGAAACTAATCAAGGAGAAAACAACCTAGAACTAAGGAGAAACTTCCTGACAGTTAGAACAATTAATCAGTGGAACAACCTGCCTCTAGAAGCTGTGACTGCTCCAACACTGTAAGTTTTTAAGAAGAGACTATAGTATAGAGTTTCCTATAGGGTTGGACTAGATGACCTCCAAGGTCCCTTCCAACATCATCATCATCCTCCTGGGGATATATCCTGTAGATAAAGTGTCCTTAAGTTGAGCTCAACTACTGGCGACTACATAAACATCTTTTTTTTCCTTTTCTTTTCTTTTTTTTGTCATTCAAAGTAAACTTAGAAGGCCATTCATCATTACAGAGACATAATTATAATGCCAACATCACTCACTGTACTGAACTTATTAGCAGTCACTCCATTAACCTTATTTATCAAATCTGAAAAGCACCCAGAGTATTACTTTGATGCTCCTTAAGACCATAATGAAAACCCTACCTATGGTATTTTCAGGTCTGAGAATTATAGACATCAAAAGAGCAAAACAGGACTTACCAGGAATGTTGTGTATTGTTATTGCTAAAATCAACAGCATGATCCTCCTCCAACTGCTGCTTGCTGGAACAGGAGGGCTGTCTTTGAGAGTTTGGGACGCTGCAGGAAGATCTGGCTGATTATGTCCAGCACCTTTCCTCCTTTGATATGGTTCCCCATTTTCACCTTTGTCTAGAGTAAAAATTAAAAAAAAAGTTTACAAATCTTTAGGTTGTTAGAAATGCTTAAAACAAAGAAATAAAGGAAAGATACAAAGATGTTGAAAAGCATATAGAGTTTAATATTAATATAAACCATCTTTTCCTAATATGGTTCCATCCACATGTGTTGGAAAATTGATAGAAAATTAGGAGAATTGCAGTTCATCACATGCAGAATTCACTCATGGGGGGGGGGCTAAAATTAAATATTTAATAGAGGTTAAAAGCCTACAAAATATTGTAGAAATGCAATGGTATATAAATAAAATCATGTTATCAGATTTTCCACTATATATAAAGTAAGTCTGAGTGAACACCACAATTTGGGCCTTGTTCATATATCCCAGGAATAACCTGAAATGACTGCTTATTGCTTTTTGCTACATTATTGTAAGTGTCCATAGATGTTTTATCATGAATGCAATCTACAGTGGGCAAAAAAAGTCAAAAATCAAGTAAACCATGCTAACATTTTACACAGGGATCTTAACAGAATACTACTGGTAGCATAGAGAGCTAGTATTTGCAGCTTATGCACAAGAGGTATTTTCTAATAGAGTAAAATTACAAACTGAAAGCAGCAAAGAGAAAGAGTTCAGGATGAAAAGAATGTACATGAGCATGCAATAATACAGTCAATCATTGCTACACTAAAGGATAGAGTGTTCATTGGTTAACTCTTTAAAAAAACATTGTTAGATTCTACCTATTCTTCTCTTTTCTGACAGAGCTGTCTTGAAAAGGTCTCTCTAATTTAAAAGCCAGTATGAGCAAAGCAAGTGTAAATTAAGGCCATAGAAAAATGGGCAAAATGCAGCATTTTGAAGTACAATATCAGATTCTTTCCACTGATTGGTAACACTTGAAAGACCCTGAGATATTAATATAACAAAGGCAGATGTTTCTGAAATTTACATAGGCAACAGCTGTACTCTTGATTACAATTATCTGACATTTTAAATGCATCTTGACTCTCTTTACCCAACCAGCTTAAAGTCTCCAGGCAAACAAACAAGTTTCAGAAGTCATTTGAAGGCACTTCTCAATTAATGTCAGTTGCTTCCCATGCCATTTCAAAGCAGCTTACTGCTAATGTTCATGTTGCAGATAACTTGGCAGCCCCTGAAACTCTCTAGCACATTAAACATTGGCTTAGAAACTAGGAAGAGGAAGCCAACAGGTAAAAACAAAACCAACATGCAAAACCAACATGCAATCCTGCCATTTGAAATAAGAGTTTTGAAAAAGAAGGAGAGAACCCAGACAGTATAAAAACATTCAGTGGTACTGTAGAAAATCTGGTCTGACACCATTGTCAGTGCAGGTTGTTCAAACAAGTATTAAATAATAGGAAACACAAACTGGCATCTAAACACATTAAAATAAACAGGTCTTCCAAACAGATATTTTTACCCTGTAAAAAATACGAATATCTCATAATGGTTTGGCAAACACGAGGAGCCGAACAAAACCGGATGAATTTAGTCAGCTTCTTTTGATCACCATATCACAAAAAAGATGAGAGTTTGGAAAAAAATTCAGAGAAGAGCAACTAAGATGATCAAAGGCCTGGAGACTAAAACATAGGAAGAATGGCTGCAGAACTTGGGTCTGGCTACTCTAAAGAAAAGAAGAAATAAGGGAGACATGATAGCAGCATTCCAGTACTTGAGGGGCTTCCGCAAAGAAAGGAGGGTTACGTTATTCTCCAAAGCACCAGAGGGCAGGACAAGAAACAATGGTTAGAAACTGAACAAAGAGAGAAGCAACCCAGAATTAAGGAGAAACTTCCTGACAGTGAGGACAATTAACCAGTGGAACAGCTTGCCTCCAGAAATTGTGGGCACTCCATCACTGGAGATTTTTAAGAAGAGGCTAGACAGGCACTTATCTAGGATGGTATAGGTTCTCCTGCTTGAGCAGGGGGCTGGACTAGAAGACCTGCAAGGTCCCTTCCAGCTCTATTCTATTTATTGCTGTTGTAATGATACAAATTGAGATCCAGCTGTAGCTTACAGATTTATTACATTTGGAGACAGGGACTATGAAAGTTATAGTGAAAGCTGGCTGGGGAATTCTGGTAGTTGAAGTCCACAAGTCTTAAAGTTACCGTGGTTGGACATCCCTGGTATATGGCATAAAGAGGGAAAGAGATGAGGAAATAAAAATTCTCCCCCCAATGCATTGGGAAAAAAACTCAGGAAATCACAGCCCTATCTATGTTGAGATGCAATCCAGCCTCTCAATAGCCTTACCCCATTCAGGGCATCACTCTCCTCCCAAAGCTTTGTAACTTCTTGCCCACCAAACATTTAGCCCTAAGGGTAAACAGTACTGTAATTGACAGAAATATTATGTTTCATATTTAAACACTGACTCCTAAAAACTAAAAGAAAAAAATGAAGGTAAGACTAATAATAAAACCCTTTTTGTATTTTGAAAAATAAAAAAAACAAATACATAATTTAAAAAAAAAGAATAAAAACTTGAGTTTTTCGTTAAAACTCCTTTAATGTCAGGCAAGGAAGGATAAACACTCTCGCAAAACAACTCATGACTACATGATTGTATACAACCCTGAGATTTTCTTGACAGCAAGACAGAAGTGACTTCAGGAATGCTTTATCAAGTTCCCAGTCTGTACAACCTTTGAATGCCTTCTACTCAAATCCTTTCCAGCCCTGATTCTATTCTGCTGTTTTTGAGATCATCCAAGATCAAGTAGGTGCTGCTGTTCCCCCCTTATTCAAACTCAGACTTGGTGTCATATCATGGCAATCAACACATAGTGCTCAACTTATTTTTCAGCACAGATATGTATCTTTTGAACAGAGCTCATTCAAATAGCTAAATCTGAGACTTTCTCCAAGAAAAGCTATCTTAACAATTAACCAGTCAGAATGACATGAATGCTGTTGCTGTTGCTAAGATGAGGAACAAAATAAGAAGCATTATGTTCCACATTTATTTATTAAATATTTTTAACCATCCAATAACTAAACACATACAACACATTAAAAATATAATCTGAATAAAAGCATAAATATTACAATCAAATAATAGGTAGGTCTGTGACCTGTATTAAAGTTTAGTTAATTGATTGATTGAAATACAAAATGAAAGTATCATAGAAACAAGCAGCAGTAGGGCAGTCATTCATAATCTAAAACAATATATTAAACACCAATTCGGATGCCTGGGAAATGGGAACGTACAAAACTAATGCTAACATAGGCACCAGCTGAGGCCCTCTGGAGAGGGGATTCCATAAATGGGGTGCCACCACAGAAAAAGTTTTCCCCCTTGTAGAAGTCTACCTCTCTTTCTTTGGAGGGACTTGGAAAAGACTTAAAACTGGGAGGGAGGATATGTATGTGTTAGTTTTGCAAGGTAGGCCAGAAAGGAAGTACACCCAACTGAACTAATTCTACTTTAGAATTACTATAGTTTACATTAATAGAATCTTGCTAGTTGGAAGGTATCCTTGGTGTTCTTTATTGCCTGAGAGCTGCCTGGAATGGAATGGATTGAGGAGGGAAGGGGAGGGGATAGGAAGAGATGCTGCCTAGGAAACAATCAGACAAGAGAGGCAGGAGCCCCCCCAGTGATTTAACAGTTAGTTAAAGAAATTTAGGAAGGGCCCCCATTAATACATTAAGAAGTTAAATGTGGCAGCAGGAGGTTTGTGCCTTCCAACTTGCAAGGCTCTATCAATGTAGCTTTACAATAAAGTAGAATTAGTTCATCTAATCCTGTTTCCTGACTGGTTTACCTGGAAAGGCTGATAGGACCAACAGGGCATCACTCAGCTGATGTTAAGCCCAAAAACAACGTGAAGTTACTTCTGAGTAGTTCTTTTATTGTTGCTAACCTTCAAAAAGAATCTTGCCAGAATAAAGCAAGTATCTGCAATAATTGTAGACATACTCTGAGAATTGCTAGGAATAGTCCAACTTTGCTCTCTTCCTGTCTTCCAAGCTCCACTATCCTTTTGCCCTCTAGGAAAGAGGTCCCCCCCCACCTGCAACTCCTCAATACATTCTGCCACAAGTGGACAAATGTGTCACCCCAAAATAGTATCTTTGTGTGGATTGAGACTCAGATTATTAGCCTTCATCCAAGCCCTAATTGAGAATGCCAACTATCTCATCTGTGTTAAATGAAAAGGGAAATAAGAACTGTGCATTCTCTGCATATTGATATGGGACTTCAATCTAGATCTCTGGATGATCTCTCCAAGCTGTTTCATGTAAATGTTAAAAAGCATAGGGGATAATATGGAGACTGACCCAATCCCGATGAGGCACTACCTGCTAACAAAAGCCATCCAAATAGGAATGGAATCACCATAGTACAGTACCCTCACACACCACGTCTGACTGCCAGTTCAGGAAGATGGCATGCTCAACAGCATTTAAAGCAACTGAGAGGTCTAGGAGGACCAACGTGGTCACGCTACCATGTCTTTTTCCCAGAATAGGTCCTATGGGGACTAAGGCAGTTTCTGTTCCACAGCTAGGTCTGAAAATGTGTTTCATCCTGTAGAGCTAGAAATTGATCAGCATGCAACCTGGGGATCCTGGAGTTTTATTTGGCATGCAAACTGAAAATCCTACTGTTAACATATTTACACAATCTTGTTATTTTTGAGGAATCCTCTCCAGTACAAGTAACACTTGCTAGTAAGAGTTATATGTTATTCTACTGAGTAATTGTCCTGATAGACTGAAGTCATACAGATTGCTGCAAGCCTTACTGGATCATACTGACATGCTCTGAGTGGGAAAGGAATTCATTATCTGCCTTCCACCCAAAGAAATTTATCACATCCTAGCGAAGAGATAGGTAATTAATCATCTGAAATATTTGTGTCAGCAACATCAGCTGCCCTGTTCCTTACATTAACTTGTAAGAAAAAAAAACCCATTGTAGCCTTTTCTACAGCCTCTCCACTGGCCCTGTGCCATCATG